TTATACAACTTAGAATGGCAAACAAGCTGACGGCCCACCTGATGGAAAGTGGTAACCGTCGCCTATAGACATGAACAGTACCATGGACATAACAGAGTATACTGTTTCGCCCGTGATAGCCCTCACGGGTTGCCATTCCTGAGGACTCAGGTGTTATTCGTCTGTACCCTGTAAATTCACGCCATATCCCACCCTTCAAACCGAAACACAGCCATGCAAACATAACTGCTTTAGGGTTGAAACACGAATGGAACAGAGGTACCCAAGCAAACGACTTTTGTACAAAGTCTCCCTCTGGTAAATTTATTTTCTTTTTTTTAATCGGTGAAAATGGTATCGTAACCTGCCTGCACTATCGGTGTACACTGGCGGGGCACTAGTGAGAGATGATAGGTAAAAATGAAAACAGGTTAGTTGACCCATTATGATGGATTTAAAAAGACTTAATCACAATTGTTTCCAGAGAAAACCACGTGGAGATCGACCTTGTAGGGAATATAGCTAACAATGGAACCAAAAGACTCCATTACTAGCCCTTACAATCCCTTTTCCCCATATTGCCTATGTTTTAATCTATAATAATATTATAAAGAGATGAAGATTTGATTGTTTGTCTATTTGTTTGTAAAGAATAATAAAATAAAATCAGTTGAGTAGTTTCACTCGACCGATTGTAAAAATTCTTCCATCTATAGAAAGCTCATATCAACATGTAACGTATGCCATATATTATTTTTGAAAATTCCATCTACCTGTCGAAGCTGGGCCTCTTCTTAGTTTATAAATAAAATTTATTTTTGGCCCATAAATAATTATTTCTATAATTTATCTATTCTAGATACACTAGCTTTTACCCGCGACTTCGTCCATGTGACCGAGATATATTTTTTGACCGGGTTAGCCTATAACCTTACCCATTCCATAGAGTGCGTGTATACCAAATTTCATAGAGATTGGTTAAGCTGTTAAGGCGGTATAAAGTAACTAACCAACTCACTTTCACAGGGGGGAAAGGGATTGTTAGTAATGGGGTCTAATAGCCCCATTACTGGCAATATGTCCTCTCAGGTTGACCTCCACGCAGTTCCTCCTCGAAACCATCATGTTTAATTCTTGTCGAATTCATCGTGATGGGCTAACTAACCTGCATTCATTCTCACCTATCATTTTCCACTGGTGCTACGTCGGTGTATACCGATAGCGCGGGCGGGGTTACCAATCCATTTTCACCCATTAAAAAAAACTCACATTTATACAAATACAATATTAGTAAGGATTAATAATATTATTTGTTTTAGACTTTTTTACTGGGTCCTTCTATGAAATGCTACTTTTATGAATGCTATCTTTATGAATCATAAAGGAATGGAATGAATGGTTATATCCCAGCATTATCGGTTCACACTGATGGCGTAGATACCAGTTAGGGATTATAAGAATGACGTCAGACTGTTAAAGATAAGAAGGGTGGCCCAGTCCTCTCTTTCACACACAAACATATTGTTTAGTTTTAATATTTTTTTTTTTTTATTGCACAATAAAACATGGTACAAGTGGCGAGCTTAATGCCATATTGCATTCTTTACCAGCTAACCATTAGGTATAAACAGAAAATGTATGAAAGGCAGATGTGGTGAAAAATATGTGACATAATTATATAATATAATAATAATATTATATGTAGTTATTCGAATGAAATTCTTGTATTTTTTTTTAATTGTTTATTTGAAGCACCTTTAAATTAAATACTTTATTGTATTTCTAAGATAGCTAATAAGTTATTAATTTAAATTAATTATTAACTTAATTTAATACCCGTACTTTATATATATATATATATATATATATATATATATATATATATATATATATATATATATATATATAAAGTACGGGTATTAAATTAAGTTAATTATATGTTAATTATATATATATATATATATATATATATATATATATATATATATATATATATATATATATATATATATATATATATATTCATATTTATATTAGTATTAGTATTAATAGCAGGTGAAATAAGTTTGTAAATATATATATATATATTTTAAAACGATTGCCAACATCCGTTTATGTTGATATTTGGTGACCAATCTCCCATCTATTGAATAAGGAAGGTCACAAAGCCGGTCACAAGCGGTGTTCAGTCCTCCGCGAAAAATGTTAGCCTCACACATACTAATTGTTTTATGTTTCATACTCTCTTTTTCTCATGTAAACGTACACACCATTCATCTTTTTGTTATATCTTCCTCTCCCTTAAGCTGTTTCTTATAAAAAAAATAAACACATTTTTATTATAATACAGCTAAATACAATAAGGCAACATTTTACATACAACAATAATACAATAAGGGCCATTCCATTGTTATTTCATTCGTTTATTTGCTATTGTAAGCCCCTTATTTTAAAAAGTAACCTTTATAACAAATAAGGCTCACCTACAAGAAACTAGAAACCGGAAGTTATTAAATAAAAATTACTTCCAGTTTACCCAGTTTAAACATTATATTAATTGTATTATTACGATTAATGTAATGTTTATTTGAATAAAATATATTGTTATGAATATATTTTATTCAAATAAATTTATTTATAAGAATTTTGAGACTGTACTGCTGGGTTTGGGTTGATGTTATCTGCTGAGAATCTCAACAACTTTTCTTTTCAAATTATTATGTACAAGATAATTTAACGTTTGCATGGATACTGTGACTATACATGCAAATTATTATGTTCTATTTATATGTATTACTAAATGGAAAATAAAGAAGCAAACATGAGCAGATCAGTTCTAATATACAGCAGCCAAGCGTGGCAAATACTGGCAAAACGCCCCAAAGGGGAGGCCTATGTTCAGCAGTGGACAGTAAATGACTGATATGACGAAGATATATATATATATATATATATATATATATATATATATATATATATATATATATATATATATATATATATATATATATATCAGTTCAGGTTGTACACTTCGTATAACCCGCCGAATTTAGATAGGTTTCTCTCGCTGATGGCGTAATATTAATAGACTAGTGCATCTTTTCATCGACAGGTTATACGAAATTTATGTACACGTATATAGACTCTACATAAATTAGAATACGATTTATTTATATAATATATATAACCCGCCAATGTAAATATACTAGTACGTTAATATTACGCCTTCAGCGCGAGGGGCCTATTAAACTCGTCGTGTTATGCAAATCAAATCCTATTATAATTCGTGTGAAAAATAGCTAATTACAAAATAATTCACGGTATCATTTCAGCGAACAGCGTGACGCCATTGGTATGCGTTATGAATACATAATACCACCTATCCTATACCAACAAAGGACGGCTCTCTCTATATAAGGGTACCGCCGGACTCATCTTTCTAAAGGAAGGTCAATAAACAAGAACAAAAGTCACGTATGTTGGTACAACACCTTAGGTGACTCACTTCATGAAGTTAAAACAATGTTTTAAGTTTCAACTTTCCGGTAACTTAGTGTGCAAATAGGCAAACTTGTAAGTTTGGCCTTAGTTTTATTTATCGACTAATTTAAGGTCGTGGCTTTGTCCGCCCGATATTTAAGACGACGTTGCATCAAGGGAGAGGGGATTGTTAATAATTATAACTGGCGGTACCGTTGCTACCAATATACCGTGTCAGGGCGACCTCCACGCGTCTCCCTTTAGATACCATTGTGATTATTTCCTAGTAGAATCATTGTGATTGCCCAAATGACTTGACTGATTCATATTCACCTATCATCTATTACTGGTACCCAACCAACCTATACCATTATCAATCATAAAAAATATACTCAGAAGGAGAAAAAGGGGTGGTTAATAAAGGAAAGTCAGAAACTAATTGCCCCATTAACAATTTTGACCTTCACCAAAATTGACCTCCACGCGGTCCCCATGGACACCATCGTGTTAATTGACCAAGAACTACTGAACTACTGTAATCGTGTTTCGATGTTCATTCACGGTATCTCCAAAATCGCTGAGTTATTAAAACTTTGTTAATGCGTATTGTTTGTAGGTATTTGAGAAGTATGATTATTTTTATAACCTTACGAAAAAAAATTACCCTGTAGTTGGCGGTAAGGGCAAAATAATATTTACTGGCTAACCTGGCAGATTGGGGAGAGAAGGGAGTGTTAGTAATGGGGGTTAGTAGCCCCATTGCTAGCAATATACCCTGTTAGATCAACCTCCTCGTGATTCCCGCTGGAAACCATCTTGATTGATTTATTGTTAGATTCGTCACGGTGGGCTAACTGACCTGCTTCATCACCTATCATCCCTCACTGGTACACCGCCAGCGTATATCGATAGCGCAGGCGTGATTACCATTCCATTATCATTCATTAAAAAAAACCTGGCAGATTTATAAAAAGGAAACTGTTTATTTATTTACTAGCGGCCCGTCCCGGCTTCGCACGGGTGGACATTTTTACATTTTAAAAAGTGGCCATTAAGTCTGCACACGCGACGGAAGCTTAAAAATGGAGTAACTTCTTCCGTTTTCGCAACATTTCCCTTCACTAATCTGCTCCTATTGATCGTAGCGTGATGAAAAATACTATAACCTGCCCAGGAGTATGAAGTATAATTGTACCAAGTTTCGTTAAAATCCGTCAAGTAGTTTTTGTTTCTATAACGAACATACAGACAGACAGACAAAAATTTTACTGATTCCATTTTTGGCATCAGTATCGATCACTAATCACCCCCTGATAGTTATATTGGAAATATATTTCATGTACAGAATTGACCTCTCTACAGATTTATTATAAGTATATAGATAGATTTTTGTACAATCAAATTCATTAACCTGAATAGGGTTTTAAATTATTTTATCGTTAAATAACCCATTCAACAAATTTATCGTATGCTGTTTGCGATACACTTTTCTTAATGAATTATTATAAATGTTTGAACGCATTATTGTCTAAACACAAATACTTATAAAACAATTTATTTTAATAAATTCTTAACATACATTACATTATTGTTTTTTCCTCTTACAGAATGTAACGATTGTACAGGCGTAAAATAAATATTGCTATCTAAATCTTTCCTTCCGACGTCCCCTTTCCCTATCTTGGGGAACGCCCAGTCTAAAGATTTGGAGCGTTGCTTACTCATTTCCAAGAAGTCTTTGAGTGCTTCTTCTAAATACTTTCGCCTGTAAACGGTGTATAACCAATCGTCTGAGTTGGACCGTCTATTTACATTTATATTTTCCTTGGTTCTATTCTCAGAAACATCAGCCACTGTCAGGAAACTGGCGCCCCCCGAGAGCTGACCCAACTGTCGCCTATGGTATCTCATGCGGACACCAGCACCCGTCTCCACCTCCTCGCGTCGTGCCAACCAGTAGTAATGAGTTATGGGGTCCCGCGGACCCCAATGTCGCGATGGCTTGAACGAACACTTCAATTTCTGCGGACACAACAATTCGTTTCCTTGTAGAACATCACAGGAAGTACAGCGGCCTAATATTAATTCTGAGCACATCTCTTATTTATGGCGAGGTCGCGTCCTTAAATGTAATATACCTAGTTGAGGATAAAAAATCGCTTAGGCAAAACCAATAGATACGTGTTGACAATTCGCATTGCAAACTTCGCATTGCGTTTGGCCAAAAACATAACACCAAAATACATAATAATACAAATATTCTTTATATTATTTTTAAATTATAATTAGGTTTATATTTCATAAAAAAAAATATATTGTAAAATAAAATTGTGGAAAATCCAATTATTTTGATTTAATAACTAAACCACTGAACCGATTTTGATATAATTTCTCTGGGACCAATCCGTAAATATAAAAAGGATTTCAGATAAAAAGTACAACAACAGTAAAAGTACTACTGGCAACCTTTCAGATAAAAAGGTTGCCAGCAGTACATACTTGACAGGCGGATTGGCAACCGTAGTAGGCTATGGTTATGTTTTAAGCGGGACGCTGCTGCCCATCCCTCGACAATAAAATCCCTTGTTCGCTTGTTACGACACCTATAAGAAAGGAAACGGTGGCTCATTCAGTGCCGGTACAACACGATCAAGTGAATAAATAATGGAAAGTAAATAATACATATTATAAACCATTTAATTATTATTGAAGTTTTGTGTCAATCGCTGAGCATTTAAATCATTATACATTCTAGTTTTTGCCATGAAGTTTTTAAAAAGACAAATGAAAACAAGTAACAAGAATGAAGTATACACTTAAATATAAAAAACTGTATGAAGGAACATATACTTACCGATATAAAATCGTATTGCACCTGCCTAGCCACAGTGATGGTGGCAAATACTAAAATGATTACCACCGCCAATGCCACACTTGAACAGACCCCGCTAGCATCCCACGGGGGCTCCGTGAAGTTACTCTCCACAAGAATGGCGACCATCCACCAAATCAAGAAGGGTGCTATGATACCAGGAGCACCACACCAACCCCATACCCAATATTTTACTAATTTCTCTCCAGTTAAAAATTCAACGTCTTCGACTAATGCTTTCCAACCTGAAATATTGAGAAGAAGAGATTGTTAATTATGGAATTAGGAACCCGGTTGCTTACAATACCTTATTATCTTACCAGAAGGAGACTTTGTACAAAAGTCGTTTGCTTAGGTACCTCTGTCCCATTCGTGTTTCAACCGTAAAGCAGTTGTGTTTGCATGGTTGTGTTTCGGTTTGAAGGGTGGGATATGGCATGAATTTACAGGGTACAGAGGAATAACACCTGAGTCCTCAGGAATGGTAACACATGGGGAATATCATGGGCGAAGAAGTATATTCTGTTATGTCCATGATACTACTCATGTCTGTAGGACGGTTACCACTTTCCATCGGCTGGGTCATCATCTTGTTTGCCATTCTAAGTTGTATAAAAAAAAATATACCCTATCAGGTCGAACTACTCGCGGTTCTTCCTGGAAATCAACGTAATGAAGTCCATATGAATTCATCACAATAGGCTAACTGACGGCTTCGGCTTCGCACGGGTGTACTAATAAAAAATAATGTAAATGAGACCCTTTCAAGTACAACCATGTAAAAAAAATTTATAACCCAAATATTTCACTTTTCTATACGATATTTTTTTTTTCATAGAAACCTTATCCTGATAAATAAAATTTCTTCAATAAAAGAATTAACTTAATAAGTATAGCCGTTCTGAAACGATGCGCATACATTAGGCAATGAATTTTTAATCAAATCAAAACATATTTATTTGTTTGCTACACGGGAAAATAAGATATTACATATACGAATAGGTACATAACATGCAGCACCCCGTGGAGGTATTCAATTATTATTTATTCATACTGTTAGACCTTCAATGAAAATATCTGGTTTTAATTTTTTATACTCATATATAACTTATTTAAAATAAGATTATATTTATCTTTTGTTTTACATTTCACTTGTGTCACTGCTCTGATCTGTAAAACACGTCTTCTAAAATCTTTTTTTTTTATTACTCATACTAATATTATAAAAGTAAAAGCGAGTTTGTTTGTTTGTTATTTTATAGTTTTATTTTCTTTTAATGGTTGAAAAATGTAACGATATCCCCGCCTGCGCTATCGATATACGCTGGCGGGGTACCAGTGAAAGATGATCACCTATCATAGGTGTGGATGAAAAGATAGATCAGTTAGCCCATCGTGACGAGTTCAAAGATAATTTATCTTTGAATTGAGGCACGATGGTTTCCAAGGGGAACCGCGTGGAAGTCGACCTGATAGGATATATTGATATCAATGGGGACTAACCTCCCCATTGATAACAATCCTGTCCCCGCATTTTTATAGTGCCTTAACGGTTACTCACTAACTAATCACTATGAGATTTGGTATACACATACTGAATGGGATAGAGAAGAATATTGGGTCTTTTGTTTTATCTCAGTCAGTCAACATAACCTGATCATGCAGACGAAGTCGCGGATCAAAGCTAGTATAGATATAAAAAAAACATAGAAGTTTAATTATGATGATTAAATTAGTAGATATGAGACCTATTAATATTAATGATTATGACCTATTAATCGCACGTGCTCGGATGTAAAATGTATTTTTATAAAGCCTTTTGAATAATAAAAAAATAAATATTAATACATTTTTAAATTACACAGTTTAAAGCGAAAATACATTAACGCCTCCACGTATTATATTAATTTAAAATTAAAATAATATGTAAAATTACGAATTATATAATTTATAGCTGCGTTGGAATACTTGAATAACTTGTTTGTGTATTTACAACAAAAACTCGTGTCCCCATTAATTATAATACTAGTAAATTTTGGTCGCTTTTTTTGGATGTACTTATCTACATAACAACGCTTGAACAGAGTTGTTAGATGTAGCATTTCGCAATTTTGGGTAAAAATTATACAGTTCATGATATTATGAAGACATGAAATTATTGTGTATATTTTTGAAAAAAAAATGTATTAATTGCGGAGAAATTTAGGTTTTTTTTTTTATTTTTGATTATTGTAAACAGTACACTAATATAAAAATTCAATTAAATAAATCAACAAATGCAGCAACAGGAGGTACATATATGTAGTAAAACCATGTTTATTCGTCTTTCGCGTAGTTTTACATGTTAAAATGTAGTAAAAATGGCACAAGTTTTTATTAAGTTAAAAATGAACAGAAATGTATCAATTTGAAAACTTTTTCAACATTTGGGTAAATAAAAATCACATCTGGCAACCCTATACTTGACTATAATTAATTGCAAATAATAATAAATCTATATAATTACCTCTTAGATTATATAGGTAGAGTATCTCCATATAAATGTTTTGAGAAAATCGGGTCAACTATTTCATACAATTTTGCGTGATAAATAGTTATAAGTAGAAGATAGTGATAAATAAAGAATAGTGATAAATAGTTATGATTATTTTGTTTTATAATTTTTGTATCATTTAATGCATAAGAATTCATTTTGTAATTTATAAATTAAATATAGTTGTGTCAAGATCTTATATATTATGTGTATGATAAGTATATAGAATACTAATAAAAAAACGAGTCAAGTAATTTGACAATTAGCTGACAAAAAGTTGACCTGTTTTTGAGACTCGATGCTCTATCTATATAATTACCTATATATTAGAAGTATCAACTCTAATCTAAAAGCTCTAAAAAGAATTAATCTTTCTTTGTAAAATTATTTGATCTAATACGAATGTTTTAAAACAAGAAATTACTTCATTAACAAAAAGTTAAAGCACAAAATGTGCAATCTCACATACAATACCTCAAGAATGGCATACCAGAGGGAGACTTTGTACAAAAGTCGATTGCTTAAGTATCTCTGTCCCATTCGTGTTTCAACCGTGAAGTAGTTGTGTTTGCATGGCTGTGTTTCGGTTTGAAGGGTGGGATATGTCGTGAATTTACTGGGTACAGAGGATTAACACCTGGGTCCTCAGAAATGGCAACGCATGGAGGGTATTATGGGCGAAACAGTATACTCTGTTATGTGCATGGTACTGCTCATGTCTATAGGCGACGGTTACCACTTTCCATCAGGTGGGCCGTTAGCTTGTTTGCCATTCTAAGTTGTATAAAAAAAAAACCTCCATAATTACAAATAAAATCCTAACTTATAGCATACATGTAAAAGTGGGTTTAGTGCCTTGATGGTTCAACCAAGTATCATGGAATATGATGTACATATTTAGAATAGGGAAGAACATATTCTATCCTATTTTTTTTTATTGATGGATGAAAATGGAATGGTAACCGCGCCTGCGCTAACGGGATACGCTGGCGGAGTACCTGTGAAGGGTGACAGATGAGAATGAAAACAGGTCAGTTAGCCCATCATGATGAATTCATCAGGAATCAACCATGATAGTTTCCAGGGGGAACCGCGAGGAGGTCGACCTGGTTGGGTACATTGCTAGCGATGGGATTCTCAGTCTCCAATACTAACAATCTCTTTCCTCCCATTCTATCCTATTATAAATATTTGACTACAGAATATTTGTTCTGATCATTCAACATATCCCGACTACACCAATAAAATCACAAGTAAAAGCTAAGTACATGAAGGTTTGAGAATTATACTTACCATAAATAAACATGAAGGCAAGTATCTCGAGTATAGTTGCAATACTGATTAATAATGGAACAGCGACATCTTCTAGAAGCTCTAAAGCAGGTAGTCCACCCACTAAAGTGCCTAATGCTGCCACTGTCGCCAATAACGAGTTAGCAACGCAGACGAATCTCCATTTATAGCCACCAATTCGACGAAACCGATCGAATAATGGGTAGAGTTGGGTTAACTAAAAATAACATTTATTAAAATAAACGCCTCTTAACAAATAAAAAAAGATAACAAATTCGAGAAAATATACTCGAGAAAATCGGATTATTAAATTAATTTTTTCGACAGTCGTTAATCTAAAGAAAAAAGTAATCGAGTAATCTTTTAAGCTGATTATTTGGTAATTAACAATTAATCTTTTCAATGAAAGTTACGCGTAAACGCAAAAAAAAAACTCGTTTATCGTAACTCCATTTTAGCGGTACACGTCTAATTATATATTTTTTTAAAATAGCGTTTTACTCTTGCACGAATCTTTCATCGGATCAAGGAGTACTTAAGTAAATAGGCAATTTTAAGACGCGTTACATTTAAAAACATTCAATTCTTCGCTCACATTTTTTTCTTTCATTAATAAATGTTTTATTGGCAGTAATATTATCGGTGTTTTTTACCAGTTCCTCCTACCCTGAATAAAATTCTCGAAAACTTACCATTGTAATAATACCTGAGAGAAACAAAGTGGCAAACATTAGTAAAGGCCACACTTTGTTGAGTTCATTTTCATCGGCGACTTGATATATCACTAGGAGCACTGCCACAGCACTCTTGTCTTTATACCCGTTGCTTATAGCAAACCAGAACAATAAACCCATCCAACTAGCAACCAAATTAGTGCCCACTATCGCTATTGAGGACCTGTAAAATTACAAAATGAAAATAAAGCATCAGGAATAAATCTTTATTATTTAAAACGACGGTAATATATTGTTTTTTTTTTTAAATGGATGATAATGGAATGGTAACCTCATCCGTGCTATCGGTATATTCCGGCGGGGCACCAGTGAAGGATGATAGGTGAGGATGAAGTAGGTCAGTTAGCCCATCGTGACGAATTCAACAAGAATTGTTCACGATGGTTTCCAGGGGAACCACGTGGAGGTCGACCTAATAAGGTATATTGCTAGCAATGAAGCTGTCAAACTCCATTGCTAACAATCCTTTTCCCCCTAATATATTGTGTTGCCAACATAGAATAAGTAAAACTTATGTAATCATACATGCCAAATATTTTATTATTATTTTTATATATCCCTTAAGAGGATACTAAGCACGCTCTAACATAATATATTATGTATATTGTATATATGAAATCACGTATACAGAAAAACACTCAGTGCAAATAAATGATTTGATTTGATTTCACTTTAACTTGAAATAAAATGCAAATGCATTAGAAAATTTCTAAATACTTGTATAGCATATTGCGTACTAGTTTTACGCAAAACTTCAGAAATAAGAAAATCAATAAAGTAGGCTACTGCTAGATATCATATTAAGATAAAAGTTACACTAAATTTTAAGTTAGACATTCAAGAACACGATTTTGAAAACCGCATTCAGTCTGATGTAGTAGTTTTCGCGTGATACCGGAACAAATATGCATACATATACTCGTAGAACGACAAAATTTTTAAAAATAAATTATTTTTGCCTCTATTGGTTTTATTAAGACCATTTAAATTACATTATTTTTCTTAATATACAGACATCGTTTAGTTACAATTTTATATTATTAAGATTGACGTATCTTTTTATCGCAATAGTAGTCTTCAAAAATAGCAACTGTGATACTCATGGCACTCCACATGTGCTCATCTTGTTTGCCAGAAACTAAAAAAAAACTTTTTTTCTTTATAACTCACCACTGAACATTTGTATTAGAATAGATACCATCGCCAGCGGACATGAGGTAGCCTCCAGCGATCTGAGACGACAGCAGAGCTTGCATGACAGCCGCGTACCAAATGTTTGCATCGAGGAAATTCGACCAGTACTCGGGCTGTTGGAAATAGTGTAGATTGCCACCGTCTCCTATCTCTGACACGATCACTATGCACAGCAGTATCACAAACGGCGTCAGCACATAAAACGTGCGTCTCATCATTTTCACTGGATTAAAGAGCCTGCAATAGATTTTATTTTCATTCGACCTCAAAAAGAAGGAATTTTTCAATTCGGTTGTATTTTTTTTATGTTTCTTACCTTATAACTCCGTCAGTTGTGAACTTACTTGGAAAATTTCATTTTTTTTTCTGTAAGAGCATGATTACAGATTGGTGTAATAAAAAATTAACAAAATCAATTCAGTAATTTAGTATTAAAATCAAATTAACTGGGTTTATCACAATTAAAGTCGATTTTTTAGAACCTAATCTTAACTATTATATTCCCAGCAGACTTGACAGAAGTTTTGAAGTCTAAACTTTATATCTAATTGTATGAATACTTACAAAAAAGGGAACGCTATCCAAAGCACAATAATCACTAATGACAATGCTGTGTAGTATTCTGGCTGTTCGCTCACCGGAGCCAAGAATGTATTGCTGAAATAAAAAGTCAAATATTTTAATAAATTTTAATTTTACATCAAAAACCTTCAACCGAAGACATTCAACTGTTGCATCAAACGCTATACAACCCACATTTGAATAATAGTAGTAATGTAGTTTGCAAAATACTGTTGTATATTTATAATTTTAACTGTTTCTTTTACCAAAATAAATATAAATAATAATCTCACTAAAAAGTCTCTAAAAAATTAATTTACTTCTTAGACATTGAATTTCTGAAATCCCAATCCTTACTAATATTGTAAATGTAAAAGTGAGTTTGTTTATTTATTACCTAGTAGTTTAACCAGTTACTATGAAATTTGCTATACACATACTATATAGTGTAGAGACGGATATAGATAGATAAATAGATAGATAGATAATTTATTTGCATTACTTACAGTACAAAAATTACAACATACATATACAAAAAAAGCGAGATAACATAAATGATAAAAAAATACATAAAGCTAAATACAATTTTCGTTTGTGAGTGTGCCATAGCAATACAAAATGGCCACAACTCAGTTTATTGCTTCGCCCTCAAAAGAGCAAAGCACTGATATTCTGTTGCGGCCAAAGGGAATAGGGTAACAATAAAACAATACTACCAGATTATCCGTACAATAAAAAGATAGATTTACAGTAAACAGACAGATATGACAGTTTATCTAGCAGACAAATGGAACATAGAGGTAACTTGCTGGAATGTCTAACTTTTGCCTCTCAATTAAGAATTTTTGTAAATTAATTTTGAAACTGGACTTAGTGGATATAGACTAGGCTTTTGTCTCGGTCAGATAATTGCAGGTAAAAGCTAGTTAAACTATAATGCTAAAATTATTTTCATAACCCATTAAAAGTTTTCTATGGTAACTAAAACGAATGAAATGAAAACTTGTAAAAAATTAAACAAAATTCAAATTTAAATAGGTACTTACTTCAGACATGTTGACGCATTAAAACTAATTTCTTCAACATCCTGAAACAAACAATTCATTTATATAAATAACCGAAAAATATGCAAATATATGTAAATATATTTTTGTAAATAAAAGTATCGTACCAGAGGGAGACTTTGTACAAAAGTCGATTGCTTGGCTACCTCTGTCCCTTTCGTGTTTCAACCGTGAAGCAGTTGTATTTGCATGGCTGTGTTTCGGTTTGAAAGGTGGGATATGGCGTGAATTTACTGAGTACAGAGGAATAACACCTGAGTCCTCAGGAATGGCTACGCATGGGGGATATCATGGGCGAAACAGTATATTCAGTTATGTCCATAGTACTGCCCATGTCTATAGGCGACGGTTACCACTTTCCATCAGGTGGGCCGTCAGCTTGTTTGCCATTTTAAGTTGTATAAAAAAAATCGTTTCCATTTACCTCTGATATAACAATATTGGTGCATTCCAGAAACGGTATAGAGTTACTCAGTGTGTAAAGGAAGTAAGCGACTAGTAAGGCCATGTAGATCACAGTGTATACGGAACTAATGAATGAAATCAGCAACCTCATATATCCAACACCTGAAAATTTTAATATTGCTGTAAGTTAGTAACATCATTGGTCACATTAATTTCTTTGTAGAGTCGAAATTAAAATGTATTCAAATTGTGTTCCATGAAAAAATTCGACTATATTAGTGACAAAACGAGTTAATTTAATTTAAAAACTAAACTACATACTTAAGCAATTTTCATTCAATTTCAATGGATCCAATCTGTAAAATAAAAATGGAATTTTCCAAATAGATTTACAACTGACGAAGTTATAAAATAATAAACATAAACAAATGGTTGAAAATGGCTTGTTTTTTTACAATTTATAATCGATCTGTAATTGTAGTATCAATTTGAAAGATAACACAATTTAAATTATAACCGTTCAGGTTTAAAGTTTTCATAAGCCTCTGGTAACTAACTACATATATGACATAAAAAATACTAACTACATATGACATAAAAATCTCTATTACAATAATGATTATCATAAAATATGTAACAGAAAAATGCTGATGTATTAATTTCACTTGCCTTTAAAGAATGGGACGGCTCTCCAGACCCCAACAGCGTCCTGCTGGCTCAGTTGACCGATAGACAACTGCAGTAGAGTGACAGGTAGGGCCAGGAAGACCATCGCCAAGGTAAACACCAGGCCGTATGTGAGACCACCATAACGATATCCATCCCTTGGAACCCGCCATATACTGTTGAATGATACTGCCACCGCTAACGTGCACGCATGCGCCCTTATGAGGCGCCAATTAACACATTTCTGAAATCGCATGGAATGTTCGATCATGTTAAATATCAAAATATCAATTTAAAAGAACTCACGACTATTGACTTAATATCAGCCTTTCCCAAAGTGGGCGATAACGCCCCCTTGTGGGCGCTGTCGTCCTAAAAGATAGGTAAGAGACCCAGAAAAAAATGAGGGCGTCGTGTAGAGGCTTAGGGGCTGATCTTGAAGTAATAGCGTTTTTTAAAAATTTCTTTTAGAAAATAATGTTATATACGCTAATGAGCTTGACTTATATAAAGAACTTCATATTGTAGAGGAACCTGTTGAACCTTGGTACTATATGTACTTACCAGAGGGAGACTTTGTACAAAAGTCGTTTGCTTGGGCACCACTGTCTCATTCATGTTTCTACCGTGAAGCAGTTGTGTTTGCATGGCTGTGTTTATATGGTTTGAAGGGTGGGATATGGCAATGAATTTACAGGATACAGAGGAATAACACCTGAGTCATCAGGTATCGAGAGCGAAACAGTATAGTCTGTTATGTTTATGTCTATAGGCGACGGTTACCACTTTCCATCAGGTGGGCCGTCAGCTTGTTTGTCACGCTAAGTTGCATAAAAAAAAACCTAGGCCACTTAGATCATATATAGATAAGGTTAAACTTTTACATGCAATTGATTCTTTGATTTTTCAACTATTAAAACAATAATAAACTTACAAGATATATAACCTCAAAACATTTTAAATCCACAGTTCTCAAGAATCACTAACCAGTGTTGTACCTTAGCCACTGTCGATCAGTTGTACCTTGTTCTGTGGTCTAAGCAACTAAGTTCAATCTGGATGTAGTACTTTGGCTATAAGTATGTATTTTTTTTTTATTATTTTATATTCTAACATTAAATTATTAATTAAAATATATTTAATATTACAGAGGTCATGCCTAGAAATAAAGAAAATAAATTTTTAAATGCAATTAAAATATTATACTTATATACAATAGAAGTTTTATAGGAAAGATACTGGTGGAATCAATACAAATGTCTCTCAAAAATTGGAAATAGCCTGGTAAAGAGGATATAAATTTGTACCCGATAAATACCATTATAGAAAAAAATTAAAACACCTAAGAATTTTATAATGTAGGTACCTGTTTAATTTAGATTTTCTTTATATTTTATGTTTTAATAATATCTATATATCTACTAGTCTTAATGTCTATAATGTGACAAAAGTATTGATTAAGCAAGTGATAAAAAGATGTTAGTATTTAAAGATTTAGTTTTTTAAGTAAAAAAATACTGTGAATGTTATATTTGTTCCTAAGAATTTTCAATTTATGTATGTCTAATAAAGTTTTTCTTAAATTAGATCTTAGATTATTTATCCCCAAATCGTCAACATGTTCTAGGCACAACATGGTACTGGCCGATACTGTACTGTAGGATATGTTGTAGCTTGGTCTTATTTACGTTTTTTTAATCGTTTTAAACATATGTAAGTGTAAATTATCTATTTATAATATGATATTTTACCAGATAATTACAGAAAAAATATATTTTTTATAAAAACTGTCCTAGGTACAACAGGTTTCTCTACTTGTTTAAATTTTATTTTTTTTATTTTATTTATGATATTATTTGTGTTGTAATGAATTAATGAATTTCTGTGTTACAATTATAATATATCATAGACTTATGCTCTTTATTTTATTACTATACAAATACAATATGTACTAAACATATATACTAAACAGTTAAATAAATAGAAAAATATACAAACACAATTCCTCTGTCAGACAAATCTAACTAGGGCAGTTAAAAGGTTAATAGGTGAATAGGTATATATGTTCGCTCCAATTTAATCCCTTAAAATGATTGACGAACTCCTTACAAGCGGGACATACCAGCATGCATTCAATTTGGTAACGTCAAGCCATACGCGCGTCTTTTGGAACGTTGAACCAAATTAGTACACGTTTCGACTAATAAAGGGCAATAAATTTTTCGTGTTTTAAATTTTTTCTAAAGACACTTTAAGTGCAGTGCGGGTGTGCCTCTTGTGATATAGCGAGTAGTAGTACAACGACGTGTTCGTGTACTAGATCAACACAGGTGGGTGACGGACTATTTAAACTGAAATTCCTATCTTTCAAATTAATATATAGATACAATGTAGGGCACATATATTACTAGTGCCTTGACCAGGATAACTAAATAGAGGTTTGGTAATCCTGGTTTACCTTTCGGTTTTTATTTATAATTGGTTTATTTTATTGGGGTTTATTTTTTTTTTAAATCAAATGGGTAAACGACATTTTTACGTAACTTGGGTTATTATGTGTAGTAAATAATAACCGTTATTATTTTAAATACGCTTAATTTATTGTTTAACCGTAGTTGTTATAATTTTGGAATAATTTAAATTCTAATGAGTTCTGAATAGGTAAGTAGATTATTCAGATAGATATTATTGGGTTTGTTTACATTATAAGTCTAGATAAGTTGTGTGAACTATTGAACAGCACACACCTTGTTGTTCTATGCGGTTTTGTTTCTTTATTTAAATAAAAATGTCGGGTTGACAATTTTATACTTGCTTACTTAGGTACTTTGTTTTTTAATTGAAAGTTTATATAACTTTTTTCTTAGTGATATAAACACATATGCAATCAAAACTAGGATTTTTTCGGATTTTGTATTCTTGAAATTGTCAGTGCTAAAGTTGCGTGTTTACGTTCGTAAATATTTGTATTTAATTTAGTTTTACCGAAGCGTTGAGTTAATTCTTTTATCGAAACCCTTCGCGATCCAATTGGGACACTATTGTATGCATTTATTTATAATTTTTTTATATCTTAGTGATAATAAAATATATATTTTCGGGATTTTCAGATTCTATACCGTTGTTTTGATATTATTAACAGTACCACTTATACCTATAATATTATACCTATTTTATATTTTAAAAAGTAAGCCAATCTAAATTTCTTGCATTATTTTAGGGTCCCTTAAAGGAGTAATAAAATAATAATAATGTGTTATAAGAAGCAATTGGCGATATTTAGGACGAAACTGGTTTGGTTCGAAACGGCTGAGGTTCTTTTGAAGACAGAAGACAGGAGTAAATTAAAAGGGCGGTTCAGCAGTTTTGCGGAACGTCAAAACCAATTAGATTCAGCTTATGAGAGTCTATTAACAATATTAGATGAGACCAAGCCAGAGCATCTATCGGTGTTGAAATTGATTCAATCTGATTATGTGCGGATTTTGGAAGTCATTGACAATCTTCGGGTAGCGTTTGCGGATTTAGCTATAGATCAGGCGGAAACCATTAAACAGGGTGAATACATGTCAACAGACGACGATACTAATTTCGGTTCTCGCCTACCAACCTTTCACTTAACAGAATTTAGTGGATTCCCACGGGATTGGATGTTGTTTATTGATATATTTGACTCTTTGGTGGATTCACGTTCTGACCTCCCAGCTAGTCAGAAGTTCGCTTATTTGTTGTCTTGCCTTTCAGCAGAACCTCGTAGCTTAATACAACACTTGGCTATTACGGATGATTCATATCCAATCGCACGGGAACTTTTAATGCGACGTTACCAAAACAAGCGATGTTTAACAGATTCACACATCTTGACCATTTTGAATTTGCCGATCATTACCAGGTTCAAAGGTAATTTGCGGTTGGATTTTCTTAACCCATTATTGTTAGCCACTAAATCCCTGGAGCGATTAGAACTACCGGTGGATCAATGGTCCTATTTGTTATTCCACATCGTAATATGTAAACTCTCAAATGACCTAAAGTTGCGATTTGAACAACGGTATGGCACAAATCCTCAAACCCTACCTACCTTTTCTCAGTTAATTGATTTCTTAGAGGAACAATGTTATGTAGGTGATCATCTGCACCACTATTATCGAGAATCTAATAGTAAAGTCTTAAGTTCTTGTCAACTAGATCAGCGGACATTGGGTAACAGTAATCGACAACTATATTCCCCTTTACGGCACGACTTTAATCAACGACCTAGATCAATTTATGCTATCCTTGAGAAGTATAACAAGTACTGCTTATACTGTAATGAGTTAGATCACACCTTACTATCATGTAGACGGTTCCATTATATTGATCCGGAAAAGCGGAAACGGTTCGTACAGATAAATGACTTATGTTATAGGTGTCTTGGTGACCATTATGCACGTGAGTGTCGGTCACAGCAGCCTTGCAGGTTCTGTGATAGGATTTCACATCATTATTCTCTTTGCTACAACGGACCAATTCTTCGACGAGCAAGTATGTCATCCTCGACTGATCCGGTGCATACGCTCGCGGATGAAGAAGCTACGAGGGATACTATGAAGACGCCTGAGCGCAACTCTGATGAAGGAAAAGAGCCCCAACGTAGAACCCGCTCTACAACACCCGATATGAATAATCTCTCGATTAATCCAGTCATAGGAGATCCGCCTCGGTGTAGAGACCACTCTCCTTATGAGAGAAGAGACCTGAATTTTTCGGAGCAGTCTTACGTGCCATCCCGCGGTCTAATTTGGCAGTCTACTTCACGTGATTGACTAGCACAGATAAACAAACAAAGCGGACATGTTCTCCACCAGTGTAGCTGGATGTTGGGTCTTGGGACCAATAAATGAACACTTAAGTGATTTTACTCCTATTGTTAACGAACATTATAATCAAATAAGTAATCGATCTAAATCGTAAATTTTGGAAAATTTCATAATAAACATTTTCAACTACATATTACACTAGCGTATTTGCTTATTATAAATACTTTAGCAGCAAAGAAACTAACAATACAAATTTAAATAAAATTACAAAAAAGTATTAAATAAAATAATGATCTCTTAATTTTAATTTCACCATACTTATAAAAAATTTGTTCATATTTCTTTTCCTAAATGTAAGTCTAAAGAAATTTTAAGTACAAATCAATTTTTAGTCACCTAAAAATAAATTTATAAAATTACTCCAGTGTTAAAACTCCTACAATTG